TCGACAATACACCCGAGACGCCCCGGACTGCCCCAGCTCATCAAGAACTAGCCTCTGGTCTCCTCCCGCATTTAAGAGTTCACAAAAGTACTCCCCCCAGCGCTTAGCCACTTTGGCAGTCTCAACTAACACTCTACCATCGCTCCCCTTCACACATCTCACGTGGTCCAGATCTCGGGCCTTCCTCTCACGCACCTTAGCAAGCCGGAACAGTGTATTAACACCGCCTTTCTCCTCAATATCCTTGTAGAGGCGTTCAAAAGCGGCATTCTTTGCCCTCGTAACCTCTAACTTGGCTTCTTTACATGTCTTCTTGTACTCCACTCGTAATGCCGTTCTTTCTTCCTCAACATTGCAGCCCATGTACCTCAAATATGCCACCTTCTTAGCTTCCACCTTACTTCGGACTGAATCGCTCCACCACCAATCACCCTGATGCCTACTCCCAGAGCCAGAGCTCACACCTAACACTTCCCTGGCTGTTTCCCTGATGCAGTTAGCAGTCCGCGTCCACATATCTGTAGCCTCTTCGTCCGATTCCCACGCACCTTTCTCCTGCACTCGCCTGATCAACTCAGAGATATTTTCCCCACTTAGTCTCCTCCACCGGATTTGTGTGTTGCCACTCGAAGCTCTCCTATGTTTCACCCATCTAATCATGACATCCATCACCAGAAGCTTGTGTTGGGTAGTGATGTTTTCACTCGGGACTACTTTAGCATCCTTGCAGAGCACCCGATCACACCTGCGCAGGAGAAGATAGTCGTTCTGAGTCGTCCCCACTCCACTAACAAATGTAGCCAAATGAACGTCTCGTTTTGGGAAACAAGAGTTAGCAACCACCATATCACTTGCTCTGGCAAACTCCAAGAGTGAAACTCCCGCTGGGTTCCTGCTGCCATAGCCAAAACCACCGTGCACGTCCTCGAAGCCCTCGGCCGAGTCTCCAATATGGCCATTGAAGTCGCCTCCAATGATGACTTTCTCAGTCAGTGGAAAGCCAACAACCACCCCATCCAAGGCGTCC